GAGAAAGAGAGAGAGAGAGAGAGAGAGAGAGAGAGAGATGTGTATATGTATGTGGTGTGTGTGTATAGTGTATGTGTGTATATATGTGTATGTGTGAGTGTGGTATATGTGTATGTGGTATATGTGTGTGTGTGCATATGTGTGTGGTGTGTATGTGGTGTATGTGTGTGTTCATGTGTGTATGTGTGGTGTGTATGTGGTGTATGTGTGTGTCTCAGTAGTTACCCTCCCATGACTGACAATGTTCCAGAAATACAACAGATATTTGTGGCAGAAGCAGTAGTAGAAGGGACAGGCACTTGTAATCACTGTTGTTATTTCCTAAACTTATACCAGAGCTGTAAATCATTGAAGGACATATTTTGGTTCATGAGAAAGTTTCAAATAAGTTGGATAAAGCAGCCATGTATACGGAAAGACAACTGAAATTGAAAATCCACATAGGTTTGGTACGGAATGGATGGTGCTAACACTTTTTGTTCTAGAAGTTCCAGACTAGGGCAGACGAACTGAGATTGTAAGTGTTGGTGTGAATGCTTGGCTCCTAACCCTAGATCATTTATCCCAAATGCCTTCAAAGCCATTTCAGCAGACGTCATTAGTTTTCACTGAGCACAACCCAGGAGTGAGCTGACAAGCCACTCTGAAGCCAGGGCCTGCCTGCTCAGGAGCTCTATCTCCAAACCTCAAACAGGAGCAACAGAAAATGTCCTCGGGGACGCTAAAAATGGAGGAGGGAAGAGATGCTGGCCCAGCACAAAGAGCTTTTCATGCCTTGCACACTTGTTTATATGGGACCTAAGTTTAGACTCTAACCAGAGGACAAAATGAGGAGCCCTTCCTCTGCAAATTCCACATCCCCTTTTGAGTCTTTTGTATGATCGTTCCAGAAGCTTCCTTCCCAGGCTTAGTCTGTTTCTGGACTGTTGATAGACAGAGCTGTGTTTTCTGGCACCAGATCACAGAAAAATTCCAGAGATATAAAGAAAATGATCGACACATGAAGTTTGGGAAAGAAGGTGCTTATTGGATGGAGATACCTTCAGCCTTGGGGAAGGTCCTCCTCCTTTGCCTAAATCTAAGAATGTTTTTTTCCTTGTTCCTAGCCAGCCAGCCAGCCTGGGCTTTCTTATCCTGGTCCTCCTTGCTCCTCCCCTCTTTGTGCTTTTCCTTTCTGGGCAAGAACAAAGCCTGAGTATCTTGTGAACCCCGCCTTGGAGGGGAGGATGCTGTGGGAACGGGAGGTGCTGTTTGCTGGCGCAGAGCTGGGGACAGTGGCTGTTCAATGAGGACTCACTTGGGGACTCCCCACCCATCTGTCCCCTGTCCTTATTTCCAAGCTCTCTGGGACCAACCTGGACTAATTCTCTGCCTAGACGTCAATGCTAACCAAGCAAGTGGGCCATCCCTGGGCTCAAAAGTGGTCTCTTTCCTCATAAAAGTTTGTGGGTGGTGAACAGCTAATTAATTAGCTCAGGGGGTGCCCCGCAGATTCACTAATGGTTACTACTCACACAGGACCTGTAAAACAGCTACAAAGTTATCTCGTGGACTCCGGGGGAGAGGTACAACAAAAGCATCTCTTAGCAAGGGAAGTAAAAGCCAACGGAGTAGAAAATCACCTCCAACGCCAGCCCCGCCTCTGTCTGGAGACATCTGTCCAACATTAATAAGCCATTTAGAGAAATATAAGGGAGAGAGAGGGGAGAGTCATGGGTAAGAAGGACATTATGAGACAGAAGTGAGGAGGGTGAGGCAGGCAGAAGACGAGGAAACCACCCAAGTGCCAAAGAGGAACCACTACCCTGAGACAACGCCGCCTCTCTCCTGGCCAGCGTGCACCTCAGCTCTGTGGAAGAAGCAAGGGAGGTTCTGGAGGTTTCTTAAGGAGAGTTTAAGAGACCAGATGTCCATCCATCCTCTCACAGCACATTCTTAAAAACAATTTGCAAGAGCCCAGGCATTCCATTCAAATTAGGAGATGTTTTGAAAAGAAATGAAGACTTTAGCCACTGATACAGGCCCTCTGGAAGGGCAGGACAGTTAAGACTCCCGTATCAGAGTTTTCTAGCCAACCTCAGAATCATGGCTGGGCGGCAGCAGGATCCCTGAAAGACTCCACGAATGCTGTGGGCAGACTCCTTCTGAGGTGAGTACCGTTCAAAATTCCTGTTCCTCTTTAGCTGATAAAATGATTTTTGTTATCAATCGTTGGATTATGTAAACACAAACATTTAACTGCCAAGGAGCAGAAAAACCACACAGGGCTCCTCATGAGCAAGTGTCAGTTTCTATTAACAAGGACTAAATATTATCTATATTACCAAGTAGTTAATCCATTTGAAAAAATATAGAGTTCGAATTATTTTTCCAGTGAGCAGTATATTCACACACACACACACACACACACACACACACACACACACACACACACGGGGGGGGGGGGCTAGTAATAGGGGATGAACTAATGACATTCACAAGGAAAAGCCTCTGAATAGGACCAGCTAGAAGCTTGAAGAACCATAGACACAGAATTGTTCAGCGCACAAGGTTGTGACGGCCAGGTAGTAGGCAATATGAAGTGGGCTAAATGTCTTGAGGAGGAGAAACTGAATTTGAGCTGGAGACCAGGAACAGAGGCAGAGGTCCTTGATTGCAGCAATTTTCCTGGACAAGACTTACGATGAGTGACTGGGTAATGGGTCAATATGCTGCCATGACTCAGCTTTGGGGTACTCCTTCTTTTATAGCCCTAGGTGAAGGAGTTATTTCGGGTACACTTGATAAGCTTATGGGCCTGTCTTTTGTGATATGATTCTGATAAGCCCATATATCCATGTCTTCCTGACTTAATTTCATAAAGTCACTGGCAGTAATATTTTATTTACATAAATAAGTTATCAGTCTGGACCTAATGGTCTATTCTGGGCAGATAGTGGCTGGTTCCTTACAGCATCACAATGAGATGCTGAGTCATTCTACCTCAGCATTTATACCCAAAATGGAGTCACCCAGGGCAAGGAACAGCATGAAAGACACTGTTATATGTAGTATGAAGTAACTTAGAACAGGGACCAGATTAGTCACCTCGGCTCTGATGCCCAAATCCTTCTTAGACAAAATTGTTAGCACACGTTTTTTTTTTCCTCTAAACTGGCTAGTTGAAAACTGTGGGAGGCAGTGGGTACTCGAATAGTGGTTTTTTTGAGAGATTCCAGCTCAGCCTTCCATAGATAGATCTGTCTATTGGGTAGGGCAGCAGTCCTAACTGTTGGTTATGGTGTAAGTTGCCTTAGACATGCCCCCAAGGGATTCAGCTAGACTGGATGGCCGGCCATTGAGATTTCCATGCCAGCAATGTTTCTAACACATTGGTCTCTAGGGGGCTGCAATTTTATGAGCTTGTGGAAGATGCCAATGAAAATAAGAAAGCTCATGGAATAACCAGAAGGATGGAAGTTTCCAGGACAAAGAATTACAACCATCATTCTAAAAAAAAGCAAACGAGGCAGGGTCTAAATCCAGCAGTTAGAGGCTGAGGCAGGAAGATCTTGAGTTCTAGGACTCAAATATAGTGGCTTCAAGGCCAGCCTGGGCTACATAGGAAACCCTGTCTCAAAAGCAAATAGGTAGAGCTAGAGAGATGGCTCGGTGGTTAAGAGCATTTACCACTCTTCCAGAGGACCTGGGGTTGATTCCCAGCACATACATAGTGGCTTACAATCCTTTGTAACTCCAGTTCCGGGGACCCTGATGCCCTCTTCTGACCTCCATGAGTATCAGGCATTACACATGATGAACAGACATGCATTCAGACAAAACAACCAAACACATAAAATAAAATCATTTAAAAATAAATAAGTAAAGCCGGGCGGTGGTGGAACACGCCTTTAATCCCAGCACTCGGGAGGCAGAGCCAGGCGGATCTCTGTGAGTTGGAGGCTAGCCTGGTCTACAGAGCGAGCTCCAGGACAGGCACCAAAACTACACAGAGAAACCCTGTCTCGAAAAACCAAATAATAATAATAATAATAATAATAATGATGATGATGATGATGATGATGATGATAATAATAAATACATAAGAAAAATGAAAGAAAACTAAGGGAGCTGAGAACATAGCTCAGTAGTAACGCACTTGACTAGCATAACCGATGCTGCGGGGTTCTACTCTCGGATCATGGAGAAACAAACGAGAGAGACCTACATGCAATGCCCTGGAGATACGCAGTGTCAATTCTGGGTGACCTGTTAAAAGAGCTCCTGTGCTATCTCTTTTCTGCCTGTCTGACCCATTTTACACAACTCTTTCCTCATCATTAGAAGGGTTTCTTACAAAACAAATTGTATAACACCCTGTTAAAAAAGAAGTCATTTCTTGCGAGGTGTTAGGGAAATTCTTAAATAATCTGAATTTGTCTTAAGTGATACTAGCAAAGCTTATAAGTACACAGTAACTTAACAGATAGAGATGTAGTGATTTAATTCCTTTTTCTGTCTTTCAATTATCCTAAATTTTTACTGTGAAATAAAAATGCAATACTGCACAGTGTAAGCAGTAGCACATGACTGGTACAAAGGTACTCTGTGTGCCCCTCTGAGATTGCGACAATCTCTCTGTTTCTCAGGCAGTCCTTTCTTGAAATTTATGTATTTATGCTTGTTTGTTGAGACAGGGTCTCACGTAGACCAGGCTTACCTCAAATTCACAGCGTAGCTGAGGCTATTCTTGAACCCTTGATCTTTCATCTCTCCTCCAAAGTGCTGGGATTACAGGCCTTTCCCCTGAAAGTTGTTATTTATTTCCTTGTTCTTCTTTCTGGTGTTTATTGCCTTGGCTTTTATCCTTAAACAGTGTATCATGGAAGAGAATTGGCAGAATGAAATGCTAATCTTTTGATGCTTGCTTGCTCAAGATTGTATTTTCCAGATTCATCCATGCTGAGGTAATCCGGTAGTGCTTGGCTGTGTGATAATGCAACAGTTGAATGTCCCACCATAATGGGTTGCTCCTTGCAATTAGGAGAAATCCTGCCATATTATTATGTGCGTCTTTGTGTGCGCTTGTGCAGTTATCCCCCAGGGCAAGAATTTAGCTCTGGAACAGCTTGTGGATGTGGACTGTCAACCTTCTATCTAGGAAATACCAGACTGTTTTCTAAAGTTACTACAATGTGAGGGGAGCCAGCTGGTTCCACTCCATGTATGTGACTCTCCTTGGCAGATATCCCAGGGCTCTGACACCTCTCACATCTTGGGGTCTCCAATAGAATCCAGGCTTCCCTTTCATAGCTTCATGCAATGGCCTCTCGGAAACTCCATGCAGGCACCCCCCTGTCATACGCCTAGTCTCAGTGGCTCTCCTTAACCCCAGAGAAAGATTCTACAACCCCTTTACTTGTGTATCATTCATAGCTTGAAAGTCAGAACCATGTGGGTGACACGGCCGTGTTTGAATACCAACTTGGTGTGAGCCCTGGCACTCATGAATCTCATTTGTAGCTGCTTTGATTTGTTGCTGCCTTTCAGAGGCAGAAAATTCTTTAGGCCTTTTCCTTTCACAGGTTGGAGGTTTAGCTGAGTGGGGTCTCGCCCTGATGGTACCCCTCTCTTTATTCCATTTTTGATCAGGTCTCTCCTTAACCGCATGTCTTTCAGCACGAGCCTTGGCTGCAATATTAAACTTCCTTGTGCTGTTTTTCTCTTGAAACTATGTTTGTTGTATTTCTTTCTGTTCTGCTTGCTCTTTTTCATTGCAGAGCTTCATAAGAGTGATTACTAATAATCAAGCAACAGAGTCGGCATGGGGCTGTCTTCAAATCTCCACCACCAAAGAAATTAGTCCATTACTTTTCAATTTAACCTCAGGCAAATTATTAGGACAAGGGTAGAAATCAGCCATATCTTTACCAGAATATCCCAAGTGGTCTCTAGTTCAGTTGCTAATATGGTTCCCCTCTAAAACCTCTTGAGCTGAGCCTCCATAGTCCATGTTGCCCTCAGCATTATGCCATACTCTCTTCTCGTCTCCTACTAGATGGCCTGCTAAGCTCTTACAGTGTTCAGCCACTTTGTTAGTCCAAAGTCCCAAAGTCTTCCATGTTCCTCTACAAACCGACGTAGTAAGGTCTGCCACAGCAATAGCCCACTTCCTGGTACTAACTTCAGTTAACTTACGTTTCAGTTGCTGGGATAAAACGCCATGACCAAGGCAACTTATAAAAGAAAGCATTTAATTGGGTTTACATTTTCAGAGGGTGAGTCCATGACAGCAGAGCAAAGGCATGGCGGTAGAAACAGCTGAGCGCTCACATCTGGATCTGCAAGGACAAGGCAGTGAGCACACTGGAAAGGTGGCCCATCTTCTGGAAGCTCAAATTCTGCACCTAGTGACCCACCTCCTTGAACAAGGCCACCCCTGCTAATTCTTCCTGAATTGTTTACCAACTGGGAACCAAGTATTCAAACAAATGAGCCCTCAGCAGCCGTTCTCATTCAAACCACCCAGGAGTGAGGGAGGCGAAAAAGACAAACACTTAGACACACCGAAGGCTGGGACGGGGTTGAGGGAGATGCCTCAGCGCCCAAAAGCTCAGAGCGTATTTTAGATACAGTTGAACAGAGAGTGGGGTTATTGTATACAGCTGAACAAGGTGGCGGGGTTATTGCATACAGATAAAGAAGGAGGCAGAGCTTATGGTATAACACTGGGCCAAGGAGACAAGTTTAGCCAAACTTGGCAGGAGCAGTCTTCAGGCCAAAATATGGAGGAGTGGACAAGAAGCTATGGTGGGCACTTTTTTCTGCATATATTAGCAACATCCACATGTGGAAGGCTTCGCTGTCCGGCTGAGCCTTACTCTAGATCAGTGGTTGTCAACCTTCCGAATGCTGCGACCCTCTAATATAGTTCATGTGGCGGTGACCCCCACACACACCATAAAATACTTTCATTGCCATTTCATAGCTGTGATTTTGCTACTGTTATGAACCATCATGTAAATACTTTTGGAGATAGAGGTTTGCCAAACAGGTCATGACCCACAAGTTTGTCACGGGCATTTCTATTGCGTTTATTAGTGTATAATCATTATACAAAACAATAGATTTCGTTATGACGTTCTCATGCATGTAAGTCATGTACTTTGGTCAAATTCAGTTCCCATTATCCTTTCTCACTCCCCTTCCTTGACACAAAAGCATTTAATCTTTCTGTCTATCCCTGTACCAATACCATCCTGCCTCCTTATTAAAGTTTTGATAGCTACACGGTAATTCTTACTTTTATGTTCTTTAAGAATTTCTTGGAGAATGGGCCTCTATGTAATTGCATTGGTTAATTATAGAGATCTTTCTGTCTGTTATTCCCAGCTGGGTATCATGATACGTGTCTTTAACTCCATCACTCAGGAGACAGCAGCAGGAAAACCATGACTTCCAGGCTAGTCTGAGATAGAAAAGAAAAAGCTCTGTTTCCTAAGCTCCAGGGCAGGGCGTGTAGCTCAGTGACAGTGTTTGCCGAGCTCTAAGTCTTTCCTTTTCACCCCAGCACCTTTAACCTATACACACAGACACGCAGATGCGCATGCACATTATTCTTCTCATCTGTTCTTCTTCGTGATCTTTCATGAGACCTTAGAATGATCTTTATAAAGGTCAGGCATGTGTTCTGTTAGATTCGTCTCCTGGCACCTTCTTCCTTGATATCATTCTAAATAGATCTGTTGCTAAAATTTCTCCCCGGGGGAAAATTTAAACAATGTCTAACTCCTCTGCCTGTAGCTCCCAACAACAAGCTAAGGTACAGTTCCCCATTCACCCAGGGAAACCGATGATGAGTTTCTTAGACTTAAGAGCTATGAGCAAGGGATTATGGTCAGGAATGTGGGTGGTTTAAAGCAGCCACGCCAGGTCTGCACATACCATGGGAGATGACTCCCACTGGCTTTGAAGATAGAGGTCTTCTCCCCTAGTTTTTCCTTGCCTATATATTCCAGCCCCTTCCCAAAGCCATGTCAAGTTTGAACAGAATTCCATACAACAGTTTGAGAGACATGGCTGGATGCCTGGGTGAGGGTTCCATGATCTTCTCTGTCCTTCCTGCCATGAGGGAATGTCAACCGTGAACAAACCCAACTGTAACGAACCTTTGCATGGTGGCCATTTGTCTCAGAGAAAGTTGTATATAGTAAAACACAAAACAACAACAAAAACTTCCTATTTGTTGCCATTGTTTTTAGATGCTAATGACTTAGTATGTTGACTCTGACATCGAGCAACATTATAAAGGTTTACACTCTGCTCACTATTCTCATATTCTTTTGACTATTTGCATACTCCATCACATCCTTGTAGTTTTCCCCCTGCCAATTTGGATATATATTTTACTTCTTACCTCACTCTACTGCTTTGGTCCTCATACAATTCTGAGCAAAAAATGTGGCAAACACAACACTTGTGCTCAGTTTCCAAGGAAAGGGTGACTTGTGATCTTTTCTGTAGGTTTCTATAAATACCCTTCTTCAAGAAAAGCATTCCTGAGAGATGTGGTGGCAATTGTCTTTAATCCTCGCACTCAGGGAGGCAGAGGCTGGTGGATCCCTGTGAAGCCAGTCTGGTCTACATAGAAAGTTCCAGACTGGCCAGGGTGTCAAAGTGAGAGCCTGTGGTATAAAACAAACAAACAAACAAAAGAGCATTCCTAGTCTTCTGTGAACTTGGTCTGGGTGGATAATGAATGTCTGCATCTGTTCAGATCATCACCAATTCTTTAATGTGGTGAATTACATTAATTGGTTTTCTCATTGTAGCCCAACTTCTAGTAGGTTTGGTTATGCTCTTATTTCGCCAGGTTGAAAATGCTAAAATGTCATTCAGGGGTTTTGCATCTGTATTTGAGTGAGATTGGACTTGATTTTTTCTTTTTCATGCTCTTCTCATCAGGTTTTGGTGTGAATGCTACACTCGATTCATGAAACAAACTGGGAAAGAAGCTACCTATCCTACACTCTGGGGTAGCTTGTATGAGACTGATTTCTTACCAGTCCAGTGTTGGACCAAAAGCTTTCGCAGAACTGTTTCAGGTTGAATGTTTCCTTCTGGAAAATAGCTACTGGTGTAGATAGACATTCTTGCATGATTATGACTCTGTCCTGACTTCCTTGTTCAGTTTTCAAATCGATTTGCACAAAAACAACATTCTCTTTGTAATTTCTAGATTGTGTGTGATTATAGTTTTTATGTTATTTACACTGGTGTGTTCCTTTTTTTTTCTCTCTTCATTGTTTTCCAAAAGGATTGTAAATTTATGAGTCTTAGATAAACAAACTTGGGCAGGTATTGTTTCTGCTGTGTGTTTGTTTCTAGTTTTATTATTTTTCCTTAATTACTTTCTTCTATTTGCCTTTGTTTTGCTGATTTTTTTCTAGCCTCTACGCTCTTTACATTTCAAAATTTTTCTCTTACAATTCTCTTACAATTACTGGTTCAGTTTTTGCTTCTGAAGCTTTAATACATCGTACCAAATATCCGATATATAACACTGAAGCATTACTATATTTCCATACAGCTTTGTTTCTTGACCACGGCTTTCTTAGTCAACCAGTTTTTCTAGTTATCTTTTCTTACTTAATTTTCATTATTTTTTTATTATCATTTGAGATAAGGTTTTACTCTATACCCAAGCGGGCCTCAAATTCTTGATCTTCCTGCCTCTCCCTCCCAATTCTGGGATTATAACCCTGCACTACCAGGCTAGTTACATTTTAAAAATGAAATCTTGTCTTAGTTATATTGTATGTGGTCACAGACTCTAATTGATGTGCTCCAAATTATTCAAAATGCTTCTAGACCTGCTTTATGGCTCACATGTGTCAATTTTAGTGAGGTTTTGGAGTGGGCTTGCAAAAAACCTATTATTTCCCCCATTCTTTTATTTTGCTTCTGGTGATCCATTTTTACTGGTCTTCTATTAAGCATATGGTATCTTTTCCTTCTGCCCTTTAAGAAAGAGTTGCAGGAAGCAATGTTCAAATCCAGGTTTAGCAAATACCCTTCAGGCCAAACGCTGAAAACTTTCTGCTCTCTTTGGCTTCTGGCCTTCATCCTGTCTTGGTGCTACTTCACTTCTAAGTTTCGTGCCAATTCACAGACTTTTCCAGAATGTATTTTAAACGTTTCGCTTTGTGTGTGGGGGTGGGGTGGGGTGGAGGAATCCCCGAGTGTGTGAGGTCCTGAGTGAATTCGTGTTGTTGTTATGGGATCAGCTATATACAGGACGCTAGCCTCAGACCAGAGGGAAATGGATAGCCTTCCCTTTTGGTCTGTGTGTGGATATTGACAGTGTGTATAGAAAACGTCCATGGTAACTTTCTTCTCTGAGGGTTTCAGGGCTTGAAGACTGACTGCTCCCCTCCAGAGCTTTCTCTACGAAGACTAACCCCATCTCTTTTGTCTGGCTGGACACCACAGACTCTGCCTCCTTGTTTATGTGTACGTAATAACCTCACCTCTTTGTTCAGCTGTGGGAAATAACCCTGCCTCCAAGTTCAACTGTATGTTATGAACACGCCAAGCCTCCTGGGTAATGCAGTCTCTCCCACTGAGAGTTCAGATCACTCAATCCCAGATTTCTGTCTGTCTGTCTTTTCTTCATTCTCTTGCCACCACAGGCAGGTCTGTCCCTAAAGCCAGGCAGCAACCTTGTATTTTTCCTTTTAGTAGGAAAGATTGTCTGATCCCCCAGACAAGCATATTCCTAGAAAAATAAATGCGTCTTTATTGGGCAATAGGTGTTCATTGATTGCCTGGAATGCACTGAGGAAGAGCTATGATTGCTACCTCTATGTGGTCAACCTATGGGCTTCAGAAAAAAGAGTCATTGATTGGGGGTGGGTAGTAGAAGCCACCGAGGGAAGGTGGTGGGAATTGGGGGTTAAAATAAAGGTTTGGGGACATTCTCATTTACACCTGAAAGCGGATGCTGATCTCTTTGGGACTGGAGAGTAAGTAGACATTAGTGGTTACTGTGAAGGGTATATGGGAGATGGGGATAGAGGAAGGGGATCTAACAGGGACAGATGTGTAGCCAAATAGAAGAAAGAACTTCTAGAGTTCTAAGGCACAGAGGATGCCTATGGTTGATATCAATTAATTACATATTTAAAATTACCTGTAGACATTATGAATGTTCCTAAGACAAAGAAACTAAACATCTCAGTGATAAGCCAGTTTTCTTTTTCTTTTTTTCTTTTTTCTTTCTTTCATTTTTTTTTTTTTTTTTGAGACAGTGTTTCTCTGTGCAGTTTTGGTGCCTGTCCTGAGTCTTGCTCTGTAGACCAGTCTGGCCTTGAACTCACAGAGCTCCACCTGGTTCTGCCTCCCAGAGTGCTGGGATTGAAGGTGTGCGCCACCACCGCCCAGTGCCAGTTTTCTTGATTTAATCATTACACTTCTTCCAAATGTATTGAAATGTCATGCCATGTCACCTAAAAAATTTACACTCTTGTGAGTCAATTAAAAATAAAATATATCTTTCCAAAAACAGCTTTCAGAGTCCTGGAGGCCAGGGGACAATTTTCAGCATCACTAGTTCCAAGCTGTGAGAGCTGAGTTCAGTCACTCTTGTCTCAGTCTTGGTTGAATATCCTTACAGAAAGAGCTGGGCATACATACAGTGACGGCACAGGAAATGTGGGTTGTCATTTGACCCGGAAAATGCCAACGCCAGAAACAGCAAAGCTGCTTTCCTGAAGTTTCATTCCCACCCCACCCTGCCCTCAGAGCTGCCAGACAGGAGGACACAAGATCCTCCCCTCCTAACTCCAGAGAAAGCCTTCTCTTCCAGGATTTCCTGAAAGGTACATCTTCTCCCTCTTGAGTTCTCTGTCAATTTTAGAGTTTTGGAAATAAAAGGCAGAAGGAAACGTCTTGCAGACAACTTCTGCTTTTCATCTCACCAGCAGACTTCCCTGAGTGGGTGGCATGCCCGCTGACTTCTTGTAAAGAGGAAAATGCAAGGAATATGGACGTTAACATTTGAAAAGTGACCACATCGAAGAGGGACTGGCCGACGCGTGCAGAACAGATGAACAGGAGAGAAAATTGGAGCCAAAGGGAGCACTCTGCTCCTAGGGAACTCAAGACTTTTTCCTGAAGATAATGGATTGGCAAGGACAGATCTGCCAACAGGGTGGTGATTAGGATCACTGACTTGGAGGGATGGGGAGAGAGCTCTTTGGCCTTGCTAGGCTTTCAGAGGGATGGAGAGATTTACTGTAACCAGAAGGAGGCCACAGATTGGGCAAATGAAGAGGATATGACCCATGGCTGGTGTGGCCAGTCTTCAGAGAACGCCAGACAGTAGAAATGTTGAGGCAGGATGGACATGCCATGAGAAAGGTCACCAAATGGATGGCAGTGCCACTCGCTGGGATAGGAGATTCTGGACTGGGCTCAAAGGGAAGTGCCAAGGATGGACCAGACTCTGATATCACTGTGGGCTTTGCTGTGATAGTGAAAGCCACCCAGCTGGAGCTCTTAGATTTCAGAGGTGTTCCGCTGATGAACGTAGGGGGGAGCCTCAAGAGGGAAATGGTGGTCCAGAGTGTCTCATGAGATGTAGGTCCCAAAAGGAGTCCACCATGTTTGGCTGTGAGAGGAGCCTTGCAGACTTTAGCCTGGATAGTATCATGAGTGGAGGAGGGGCAGGCTTTCAAAGGCAGGAGGAGCTTCACCCTGTTCCATGTAGCTGGGCCTGGTACTGCTGCCTCAGTGGGATAAGCAGATAGCTTGAAGTGGGGTGTCGCCTAAGCTGGGAAAAAAAAAAAAGATGGTCCAAGTACAACCTTACAGCTTATTAAATCCTTCTCAGATTTACTAAGCTTAAAGATGAAAAATAAGACAAATTAATCTTTTTTTTTTTTTTTTGATTTTTCGAGACAGGGTTTCTCTGTGTAGTTTTGTGCCTTTCCTGGAACTCACTTGGTAGCCCAGGCTGGCCTCGAACTCACAGAGATCC